GAACTGATTAACTTTTTTTATTATATCAGTAGATGATCCGTTGTACTTCGTATCGCCTTACACAGTTTAAACATTTCAAAATCAAAATCAGCTAAATTGGCCCAGCCGTTCTTGTGTTATAGCGACATCAACGAACAGCAATTGATTTTTATAAAAGAAAGATAAATATTGCTCTATAGCCTGAGAGGCTTACAGATTTGTTTCTTGTTGACCTCTATGAATTTCTATGTTTGATTATCGACCGGGTCATTTGGCATAATTAAACTGTAAATAAAATCTTGAAAATATGTTAGAACAGATCTATGTATTTTTAGGGTATCGCATCAAAATAGAAAGAGCCCTTATAAGATCATTAGGTTAGCTGTCAGTCATCGACAATTTTCTTCTAAACTATTGGACCGATTGAATTGAAATTTGGTATGCTTATGTAAATCAGTAAGCCCAAGACTGTCGAAAAATGTAAATAAATAAATTTGCTATATGGTAGTCTCTTGTGGAGGGTTGATTAGAAAAGTAAGAAACGTTAACTATATTTTGTGACATATTTCTAATAAAAGTTCTAATATATTGGGTATAAATGAAATAAATAATTAATAGCTCTACATTTAACTGAAGCTCAAAGACTCATTTAGTAGCTAACGTGTTCGGTCTACAATGCGGAGGTCAAGCAACATTTGCAAGGGAAGGTCATAGGTTGGGTAACCAAAAATGTGTTATCTCGACCTGTATGCTTTGAAAGGCACGTTAAGCCATCGGTCTAGCTGCATCTGACTGCAGTCGTTATCACCCATCAATCCGCACTAGGCTCAATCGGTGGGTTAAGGTTCATTCTCCCTATTAGATTCTATCTTTAGGTAAGGCCTGTGCTCTATTAGTGGGGGACAGAAAAGCTAGTAGTCTATGATATTCTTATATATCATAGATTACGTGCTTGAAAAATTCGTCAGTTCCTGTTAGGTCCTGGGTAGCTCAGTGGTTAGAGCAGTCGCCCCGGATTGCGAAAGGTCATGGGTTCGAGTCCCATCCCAGAGTGCCAAGGAAAAGTGTTAATTTTAAGCATTTTTCATTAAGAATATTTTTCAGTATACGATGTGAATGTAAAATTGATGAAATATGTAACTAAGAGCAATGATAGTTAATGAGGCGACCGCACAATCTCTGCCTACCCACAAGGGATACAGTAGGGTTGCCAGATGGTCGGGATTCGTCTGGATTGTCCAGACATTTCGTATGATGTCCAGAGTCCCGAAAAAAAGAAATATACCCCGACAAAATTGTTACATTCTGTAAAATCGTATTCCAAGTATAAAAAATTAATAACACACATATCATAATAATATAATAAGTAGGTATATTAGCTGTTTAAATGTTATGCTTTTATAATGTGATCTTATAAAACTACAAAAAAGTAGATACTTATTATTATTTTAAAATTTAATTAATAAAAACTGGATTTTGTCATTAGTATTTTTCCCGACCTTCTCAAATCTTGTCCAGATATTTTAGTCTCGCTATCTGGCAACCTTAGATACAGCGTGAAGATATATGTACATAGACAGAGTTATAAAACTTAATATACACGGAACCTTTTGCGCGCGAGTCCCACTCGCTCTTGGCCGATGTTTTATATAGTTTCGCTTCAATTTTCTTATATAATGACAAATACTTAATCCGCTTATCTTAGAATGGGAATTTCGTATATGTGCTGTATAATATTTATATATTCTAATGTTATTGCTGATTATAATTGACTTATATATTATGTTGTATCATTGTCTTTTTTCTCTCAAATAGTCTCTGTATCTAAATTATGTACATATAGATTACTTGGTTGGCTTTATGAGTCACGTAATACATAAAAAACATGTTAATGAAAATGCTTCATCAGATACAAACAGACCACCCGCGATACAGTTTTTGTTGTTGATTACTAAGTGCAAAGTGTTATTTGATTATCGTTTTATTAATTACATTCTTTTCATATGTTTTGTTAGTTGTAAGAGTGAATAATTTTTGCTGAGTTTGAAGTGATTTGTCATTCCTCGCAAAGTCTTTTATTTTATATCACTATTCGAGCGGGGTAGACAAATTTATTTGTGGTTTGTATTAAAATTAGAACCATACATTTAATAAAAAGTGAATTTGATTATGTAACATATGTGTTACGTGGTGCTAAATTCCACCCTTGCAGTATAAAAAAAAGAAGATGGTTTAGTGACGTTTTTCTTTTAGTCTACAGATGATTTCCGCAATCTATTCTAAACTTAACTTGCGACATTTTTCACAATCTATTGGAGGTATCTGTCACATTTTGACTTAAACCTTTGTAGAATGGTAGTTGTTAAAGATTTCTAATTACATATTTACTTATGGAAAAATCTTAAAATCATGGTTGGTATTTCCAAATCGTTAATAAGAAGAATAGGAATGTTAAATGAACGTTAAATTCCATCCATATTTGTTCAGCTATCAGTTAATTTCAGTATAGGTTATTCTAGAGAAACCCTTCTTAGACAAGTCTGATAATTATAATTTACTCGACTACGCTCTATTGTGGGAGTCAAGTTAAGTACTATATAGAAATAATCTGATTTAACAATGATATATATACTTATTTAAATTTAAACTCAATCTACAGCAACAGTATATGTAACGTATCACGCTTGATACTTGTATATGGCCCATTAAAGATATTGAAGTAAAAATTTAAAACGAAAAAGCTTTGAAACCGCAGCCCATCGGATCCGTTAGTTCTCCGAAGTGAAGTCAAATAACTCCTTCGCATTGAGGTGTAGGATGCGATTCACACATTACACGTGCATTATCCGATTGTGCGACGTGTTTGTTCAACGCGACCTAATATTTGCTAAAGGGATTTTCGAACCAGTTTTGGTAGGTACCCACGTGAAAATATTAACGAAGTATTTGATATTTATTTCATAGAAATATACACTATTTAAAACCCGACCAAGTACAACTCGGACTCGCGCACGATGGGTTCCGTACAATCCATTAAAAATAAGAAAATAATACAATGGGTCGACTATTACGTTATGACCTTTAATATTAAGTGTCGAGTTTTCCTTTTGACTTCGTTATATACTTCTGCCGTAACCTTCGAATTTTCACCAACGATCGTTTAGTTGCTAGAGGGATACTTGACTCTAACGAAAATTAGCTTTTTAAAGTTTATTAAAATTTTTACTCAATTTTTTTTTCCAAATATTACCAAAAATCTTACTGAAAAAAATAAATTTTCTCTTTTATTCTGTGCGAGTTTCTGCTCATTAATATTATGACGTTAGAATCTATTATGTACTTGTTCTTATCTTATAGAAAAGCTGCACAGTAATAGAAATGAAGAAGAGGAAAACAAATACATATTTTCCTCTGTTTAAACATAACATAGCATTCATAATATCTATTGGGAGTTGAGTTACATAGCCTTTGGAATACTTTTGAAGCAGGTGTTCAAGGTGTAACTAATCATAGTTACAAATGTCGTGTGATCATTAAAACAGTTGCTTCATACAATGAGGGTGTGCGCGACCACGACCGCTAGACGTACGCTTTAATTGTTGGACAAACACACGGCGCTAGTTTGCTTTGGAAAAGGAAGTGACATATCTCTAGTAATATTTAGGAATATTAGTATTGTTACTATTAGGTACCTGAAAATTGAAAAAATATTGTAACCTATTTAAAAATACTCATAAATCTATCGATAGTCTCTTAATTAGAGGATATACTTTTGATCGCGATAATTATGGTTTTATTTATTAAAAAGAACGTATATGCCCAAAACAATTTTCCTAAATATTAAGTAAGATTTTCCATTATATTATTAATCTATCATTAAATTTGAGAGATAATATAACGTCGACTGTTGAAAATCACAAATTGGCTATCGATATACAGAAAAAAATTTCGCTTCGCTTTTGGCGGTAGTCACAAGACGCATCCAGTTACCATATGTTTATGTTGGCAACTCAAAGGTACCTGGGATCCTTATTCAGGACCTTCACCTTTATTTATGTATACTCAGACAGAAATCACCCTTTACGTCGCCCGCTCCTCGCCTGTGAACCAAGAAAGCATTCAAAATGATTTATTGTAAATGGTTTTCTACTTTGTTGGCTAAAATAATAACGCGGGCCTGTTCTAAATTCGATGTTTTATTGTTACTTTTTCTTTTTTATCCATACCGACACGCTTCTCGTAAAATTCAATTTGCAATCCCTTTGTTCGGTCATTAGATGCTGTGATCGAATGAATCAGCGTTATGGTAATTAGCAGGCGAAAATGAAAAATTGTGAATGATTAGTTGGTTATTACGAATCGTTAAGTGGAAGGTAGAGTTGGGCCGGTGAATGAGACGTCCACAATGCGAATAATAAAAACGTTAAAGGAACAGTAGAAGTAGCGGATGGCTTTGTCCTTCACACAATGGGAGAAACTTCGAGCCGATTGACGGTTTAACTCCAAAGGTGTCACGAGAATTAGTGGCCCATTATTGGTCCATAGAAAACGCTATGGTCAAGCAGTAAATAGATAACAATAATTAGCTCGGACTCAACAAAAAGTGACATAAATCCCGCATAATAAGATTTTCGATGTGCAAAAAAAGACACAGTTTACCTGGACTCTTGCGTTTTTTTTTGTATGACTGGACGAACGTGGAAGATATAATAAACACCTCAATTCCAGGCAGGGGCATTGTTTAATGATTTTCTGTTGTGATCTTGCACAATTCTCGGCCGCCATGATTTTTTTCGTGCTTAGCTTGCGAGAAAAATAAAAGTTTTTGTATGTCTTGGTAGCATTTAAACAAAAGGGACTGGGATTGTGGGGAGGTGTGATTTATTTATGACTCTACCTATACAGCGTACGGTATACCGAGTTTGGGTGGCTTCTAAAATTTCTCGCCGACTATCTGACCGGTTGTTTATGTATCGATCAAAATCAATAAATCGGTTAACGTTCTGTTTCTTTTGTTGCAGGAACAATATGGAATTCTCGCATACGACCGGCACGCTTTTATATAACATCTAATAACTAATAGTAATAACATAAGAAGTTTTCATTAACCCGTTATAAAAACAAAGATGCTGGGGTGTGCTCTAAGGAGAGTTACTTCAGTCATCACTTTCACTACGAAGAACATAAGCTTCAGCTCGGCTGATGACAGCCGCTGCTTAGATAAGTAGATGTTTTGACGACGGACCTAACTAAAAACAATTCCGGCAATAAAATCTAATAGAAAAATTGCAGTAGTAATTTGTATCAAATCTGAAACAATACTAGTCAAGTTGAAAAGCAATAGTAAGTTACCAGAAGCGATAGTTGCACTATAGACAGGACGATTGAGCGTGCTGTGTCGCCACTGCGGTGGTATGCGTTATATTGCCTATTGGATCGACTGTGCGCTGATTGGTCGCTACGTCACGTGGCTTCCCGGCGCGCGACTGCGGTGCTGGATGCTACTAACTGTATACACGTAAGTAATAACATTTAAGTTCATGTTCAGTGATAAATGCTTACTTTGGAAGTGTTTGCGCCGAGTATGTTATAGCGCATGCGTTTATTCTGAAGAGCTTTAAACTTCTAGTCCAACTATAACTTATACAGGTGTGCTGTGATGAGTTTTATATCAACATGTTATTGATTTAAACGGGTGACTTACAAATTGACAAATTGCCAAGAAATGTAACGAAATTTCCTTTTTGTTTTGTTGATGACGTATCCGTTGAATGATTTACTGCGATTTAAGATTTCCGAGAATGTTGTATTGTTTTTTAGGGAAATACGGCTTTAGAATAGGATAAGTGTCAATAAATATAATAGAATGTCTTACATTTTATACCAGTATTTTCATTTCTTGTTTTTTGTTTATTATGTCTGGGATAGGAAATTATATCTCGGATATATATTTGATACATATTCCCTAAAAATTATAGTATTATAGTCTCTACTTAGTTCATGTTGAGAAAAACATGTTGAAAACAGCAACATTAAGCCACCATTTCAGTTTAACGACAGTACTAATTTTAAAACACCATGCTCACCTGTTAATTAAAAGCTCTATTATAAAGCAGGTAGCGAAGTTAATGACATTTCAACTCATTACATTATATTACTAACTTAACAAGCTTCTCGCCAAGTTAACTATTCGTGTTAGTTGTTAAGCTCCGGCTGGATGTTACTTTACCGTTTAACTTAACTATGAATTCTAAAAAAGCATTGCCCAGTTTTATTTTCAGTTTTAATAAACGGTAGTTTAATGTGTTCTATTTGTGATATAATATGTCATCAACATTATATAGCTTATGTTAGTCCAGTTGATCCGGGGGGTAACTGATTGAACTTCATACAAATATCATTGAATTCAAATTTTAATCTAAGATGAAGAAAAAAATGTTCTTTATCCATATAAATTAATCGTCCAACATTTTTATGGTCTCTAGCTTTGCAAACTCGGAAATCTTATTGGATCACACGAGTGTCCGTCTAAGTTGTTTGGTTGTTAGTCACAGATGAATTTTTCCAAAGCTTTTGGACCGATGGAGTTGACATTTGATTCACATGTAGTTAATGACGCAAAGGCAAAAGTGCAATAGAAATAAATAAATTTTAAACATGGCTTCCATCCACTTTTGAATAAAACCATATTCAAACTATATTGTGACAGATCAAATGGCGATATTGTGAGATCCCAAATATATAATTTTTTTTTGTAATTTCAAAATTAATAATTTGTATGTAATTACAGGAAATTTATCTTTTTCTCCCCTGATATGTGAAACAACGATTACTAACTAATTTTAAAAACAATTACGAAAATGTTCCTTTATAGTAAATCTTATTAGGGTCAGAGGGTTCTGCACACTACTCCGACTCGCTCATGGGTTTTTACTTATCGTTCAGCATGCCAATTCTGTTAATTTTTACGTAAAATCGCATCTGGCTGGTATCTGAACGACTTATACTTTAACATTTTTCCATCTACCTAATGTTCTATATTATAAGTGCAATTGCATCATTGGTGACTGTTATATAATAATATTGGACTTCAGGTACATAGTACTATGTATTTTGTCCTACATAATGTATTTTGGCTCACTGAAGAATGGCCGTCAGAAACCGATCAGCTTTTAGCAGTAAAAATTTATGTATGTATGTAAGCGTAATCTCAGAAGGCTGCCAATGGTAAATATTCAACTGCAGATTATTGTAAGTGCACTTAGATAATTATGTTGATAATAGTTTGTTGACTAACTCCTGCGCACACTTCCTATTGGACGTTGGTCGTCTCTTTTTGTTAATGAATATTTAATTGAAATAGTTTTCTTGCGACCACATTTAGGTATGAAGTTTTGGCGACAACTATCAAATATTTGCGTTATACAGTTTGTCGTAAAGTCGCAACTACGTGTTAAATTGGTCGGGATATCGCATTATTTGATATTAAACAGTAAAATGATATGTGTAGTTTTATTTTTAGTGTTAATGGTCTTTGCAAAGGTTGATTATCAAATATATATACAATAAAGTATTGGGGTCTATGTGAAAATTTTAAGTTTTGCGAAACTAGACGTGCTGTTGACTGTAGCTGACAGCTACAAGTGCATAATCTGTATATTAGTATAAATTATACATCAAAGGAATAAATTACAATATTATACTCCCAATCAATTTATATTAATTTAATTTATTTAATTTATCAAATACCGACAAATAGACTAATTGCATATTGATTTTGAGATATTAATACATCTTGAAAAACATATATTCTTTTCAATTTCGTTCTAAAAAGGAAAACCTCAATAATATTTTTTAAATAAATTCAATATTTTATCTCCCGGGCAAAAACAAAAATGTCATTTACGCGTGCCATCACACACTACAGTTATCGAATTTTCGTTAAATAAATAAGAATCACCATAAAAGTAAAAATACATGTAAGGTATACAGTATGAGTTAAAAAACACAATGTAAATTATATGAAATATTCAATATATTTTCATAAAATCAACCAAATTAGGATTTATGTCGTCACAAAGTGTTAGATTATGCATATTGAATATCTATTGACAGCGTATATCTTTTACCTTATACGAATAGGTAATAAAAATCGAATACCGATATGAGAGATGAATGTATTTTTATCTTATAAATACGAAATTCCGTTGGCTTATCTAAAATATATGTACTTTATAAAAAGTTAGTTGATGTCTTGACAAATTGTGTAATATATTTTTTTATACTTATTTATTCTATTCTGTTTGCAAAATGCAATTTTGGGTAAATAAACATTAAATTAAATGTTTATTTTCAAGTTATTTTAGTATACCAATGTTTTTGTTTTTATGATTTTTGACGACCAAACTAATAAAACACTGAAACAGATAGACATTTTTTTTTATTTTCAATGCGTAAAATTTCGATTAAACTAAATCATTCCATCGGTACTATGTGTCTTTAGTAAATTTTTAGGTTTAAACTTTCAATTATTTGAAAATAATTCAGTTGGAGCTGTGGTGTGTCATTTGATCGTTCTTTTCATACAGCCAAAATAATTCTGAACATCTAATTTAAATTAGTGGACGATTAAAAAGTTGAACCATTAATAAGTTAATTTGAATAAAGATGATTTTTTTCAGATCACATAAATCACATAACCAATAAAATGTGGAAGACATTATATCTCAAAACAATATAATCCTTTACACACTCTCCCTTTTGAAACAGACGAACTGAAAAATGTGAAGAAGTAAGTTGTATCCGTAAAAGTAAAGTAACAAAAGTTAAAATAATAATATGAATAAGTAGCTGGAAATAATCGATGACCCATATTTTGATTTTATTTTATCTCATCCGATAATAGTGTAGTATAGTCGCAGTTCCAATAACTTTCGCTTTACGCTCCTTATTATTTCCCGAGTGTAAAAAGGCCTCCATACCTACAGAAAAAATGATACCCTTGACCGATTCGTACCACCCACAAGAGTTATTCAACATGTTCGCCAAATTGAGAGACAATGGGTTAATTAATAATAATATACAGTAAGAACCTTATTATACAAATCAGTAGCAAAATCATGACACTAAGAATAGTATGTTACTTGATTAAAAATGATTGTAATTAATAGATCCAATTAACAAAGGAGACAAATGTAATCTTGAAACAATCAAAAATGTTAACAAAAATTAATTATTTTGTTAACAGTTCTTTTATTTTGTTTTTTTGTTATTTTGTTATTTTTTATTATTTTATGACAAACAAATAAAGGTGTTGAGAAAAACCATCTTTGCCGCAGGTAGCTTCTACGTTTTCATTAATTTTAATAGAGTGCGCTACGGATTTCGAGTTCATTTATGTAAAGCCATAATATCAAATGATGTTTTTTGGAACCTAAAGTAACTAAAGCAATAAAAATCTTTAAAATAAAAATGTAAAGATTTTCACCATTAAACTTACAGAAAATGAAAAAAATGTGTTTTTTTTATTCGAGTGACCAAGCACTATTGGATCGTTCATATGGACGTCGTATGGCTGACAAGAAGGACAAGCGAAAGAAACTTACCATCTCTTTATCAGAGGTAGACATTTTAAAAACTTTTATAATACATGCGTTGCTATTAATAAACAATTGAATGCAAACAAGACAACCGCCCACTGACCACACTGGTTGAAATAAAAACAGTCTACCGTTTGATGTCTAGACGTTGTTGTAATATTTGTAACCTCTATGTTAGACAATCGTACCCACGCATCGTATGAAACGGAGAATTCACTATATTCACATGGCAACAATAATTTCGATATCCCGGGGTAGCCCCCCATTGTCTAACTTTAAAATCTACCACAATTCCTTTCAATGTGGCATTTGAAAGATGTTTACGAATTTCCCGCGATTACGGACGCGACGTTTTTTTTAAGGATATTGAATAAATGATTTAAAGTTAATTGAAATTTTCTTCGGCATACGTTAGACGCATACATCTTTGAAATCTATTGTGACTTTAAATGTTATTTGATTTAATTAATCGCTGTCATAGTTGCCTTTGAAAGGAATTGCTATATATTTTAAAATTAGACAATTAACCCACTGAACTCCGTAGATGACTGGTTCTCACACCCAGTTACAAAGTGTCACCATCTCTTAAGCACTAAGTTATGTTCGATTGCGATACGATGCGATGAGCATTTCTATGTTGTCTCTGGTCAGGGTTGTTGTTTTCATTTTCATTGTTTCAAATTTCTATGACAAGAGATATAGCTACATACTTTTAGGACGTTAGCAATGTCTTAAAGGCAAATTTTTAAATAAGTTGACAGACTAAATCGCAGCAACCGCACGTAGTCCATATACTAAATAATCAAACATTACCAAGGGTCAGCGTTTCATTACCATGGTACCGTCATCATTCATACAGAGATACGCCTGCTGACAAACGCAGCGAATAATTCAAGTGCCAATAAATGGTCAAGAGTGA